CCCCAAAACCCCAAAACCCCAAAACCCCAATGAAACAGTAATATGAGATTTAGAAAAAATGTTAAATATAATAGTTCAATTAGAATCTTGAACGTCCACATCTTCCAGTATTTTCTCATTCATATAGACCAATAGATCTTGTTTCTAGTCAATGACATCAAGATAGTGGGATTTTACGTCAAGAGATTTTGAAGTTAGATGAACCTTGACCAGTCTAGTATCTCTATTTTCCAAAATTGCATCTGAGATATTCTTGTGATAGATTAAATTGTCGTCAAGATTTTCATTATAGGTGAAATCGAAACATAATAAGCTTTAATTCTCCTGTAGAGCACCAGCTAAATTATCGAACTCATGTTGTTCTGCCTTGATCAAAGCATTGTGAGTAAGAGTCAGGACCTATAAAATCCCATTATTTTAAATGCCTTAGAAAATAGCGTTAACAAAGGACTTGTCTAGAGCTAGATATCTGATCTCTATTACTCTCAATGTTTTATTTGCTACAAATTTTTACTATATACCTCTGCTGACTACTGAGAAATCTGTAGATTCTTGTGGGTTTTTCTTATCTTTTTTTGTCTTTTTTTGTTCAATTTAAGTCTCAGCAAGTTAGATTATTTCTATGTTTGGGTGATCAATGCTTGTTTCTATGGCTTCATAACAGTCTTTTTCAGACATTTGATTCTAAACAAAAGCTATTCTAGTCATTGAGGTGTTTCCATCGATAAAGGTTTTAAGCTGTAAAATAAAGTTATGGCACAGACTGCACTCTTAAAGAGTTAGATATCTCATTTTAGGGTAGTTAGCATCAATTGCTACAAAAAGTAGCTTAGCCTCTCTAACAGACTTGAACTTTACTCGCTTGGCTTCAACAAAGAACACTGTCTCTTTGCTTGGGAATTACTCCATTAATTTGGAGAATTTGACTACAGATCTTTCATTCAAAAAGAAGTATTCATAGTTTTCTCCTGAAAATACCAATGACTCAATTTTTTTGTTAGCATGGATTTTACCTCTAAGATTGCTGAATCCAAAAGTAGCCAGCAAAATATTGTTGATGACTATCTGAACTCTTCTTTTTATTGAGTTGAGTCTATTTACAGAATAGAATACATTTATTAGTCTATACAAGAATCCAAAATAGGTGTTGATAAGTGCAAGTATAATGCCAATGACTATTATAGAGTTAGTATTTTTCTTTCCGCAATCAGTTTCTAGCAGATACCAAACTTGAATGCAAAGCTAGGGAAAATCTTGGAATATGAATTTCATGAATCCCCAAAGCAAATCTATTTTATTCTTTTAGTGATGAACATACTCAACATTCAGAGCTTGCACTCTAAACTCGTTGAATATAAGAATTCTAAAAGCATGTTTCCTTAGTTTATTTTCTTCTTTTACTCCTCCAAACATGATTACTAAACTCATAATGATTGCATATAGTTTAGGTAATCCTAAGAATATAAGTGAAATGCCTGAAGTATAAGCATACATATTAAGCCTTTCTTTTGATACTATTGACAAGAAGGCATAATCACAGTAAATTCTCAGCAATCCAATATAAGTCATAGTCAATTCGAACAAGATCTATAAAAACACACCAAACATATGTGAACCTCTGCTCCTAAACTCAGCTTACATTGAGTGCAATTCCTCGTCAGAATCCATAAGCTTTCTTCTATAACTCTTTCTCTTCTTTAAGGCTTTAAGCTTTGCCTCATTATTGACCTCTTAATTATATTAAAGTTCGTACTTTATACTCTCCTTTTCGTAGTACTAGGCTGCAAATACCAAGTCAAATATCAAATTGAGTCCAAGATAGGTTAAAATAGCTATATGACTCGTCCAACTGTGACCACCGTTGCATCCAATTACAGCATAAAATGGAAAAGCAGTGGCAACAATCCAGAACATGGCTGTTTGGAGGAAGTGAAACAACATAAAGCATTTCGATGTGTAGAAGTAGTTCTTATTTCTAAGATGCTTAGCAAGCTTTTTTCTGTTTTTCTGTTCTTTCTTAATTGCTTTACTAGGAAGTGAGTAGTATGCATGAATGTCCTCCAGCTCATTCAGTGGAACTCCATACTCGGCAATATGCATAGGATATTGAGATTTTTCATTAATATCTTCATTGAAGTCAAACTCATGCTCTTTTTTTACAAAGTTCTTTTACTTGGTTTTCTTTATCTCAGCTTGCTTTCTATCTTCCACACTTTCTAGTTCTCTTTCCTTTCTGCTGCTTTTAGATGTTTAACCTCTAAATTACTTGGAACTCTTATCATCTTCATCCTCATCAGATTCGGAGTCCTATTTCTTTGACTATTACTTTTTGTTCTATGGCTGAAGTGGCTACTGCTTATTCTTAATCAAAGGTTTCTTTTTCTCATCGTCATCTTCATCATCTTACTCCTACTCTTCATCACTAAACTTCTTAGCTACTTTCTTCATGTTCTAATTCTTATTTTGGTTATTGTTTCCTCCTTTTTTGTTATTCTTCCCTAACGCTTTAAATTCAATCTCCTCATCGCTTTCTTCTTCTGATTCTTAAGGTCTGCCAAATGTATTCTTGGCTTTAGAGCTTGCTTATTTTGAAGGTGGGTTAGCCTTACCTTATATGCTTTTAACTGGTTGTTTGTTATTAACACTAGGCTTTAAGAACTAATGCCTATCTTCTTCGCTGTCATCCTCATAATCATTTTCTTCATATCTCTTTTAAGTCTTCTTGAATCCTTTATTAGATGACCCTTAAGAAACATCAGACAGGGGCGGCTTTTTGATATTCGGATTTTAAAAGGTATCTTATGATTCTTTGTTATTTGATCTTTTGAAGTCTGTATAGGCTGATTTTTTATCAAAACTATCGTTTATCTTATTTAGTAAGTAATTGTTATTTAGTCCTCTCTCATCATCTTCATCAGAGTCATCAACTAATAGATTCTTTTTAAGCTATTGAGTATTTTTTGCACCTGGTTTAAGGTTTGCAGTCAATGCTGTTTACACTTGTTTCCCTGGAGCTTATTTTTTTCCTTTTCCATAGTTTTTCTACTCTTCAGGACTGTAAAGATCATCATCGCTATCTTCATAAGCTTCTGTAAAATAAATCAAAATCAAATCGATATAGCAACAAGTAAAAGAGGCATAGTCTGAATAACTTACCAAAATTTTTAGACTTCTTTTTCTTATTGTTGTCCATTTGAGTAAATACAATAAATTTAAATGCTAACTTAAATATTATTAAAGTTAATGGGGTTGGCTTGAATTAAAATCTTTATAAATTGCTCTAGTTTATAACTATTGTTTTACAAATTAAATGATAAATTATAGACTTTTAAACTCAACTCTCAATTTTTAGACCAACAATGAAACTAATTCTAATTCAACTAACGTAAATTTCTCATTTTGTATATGATTACATTTTAGACAACAACAGATGCATAATTTAAACTAAATACTGCAGAACTGAGTGTACTTGTAATAGTGGCTGGGCTAGTATTTACAGGAATCATGATATTCATACTTTGGAGAGTGATTGCATGCTATATGAACAAAAAGAGTTCTACTTAAATGCAAGTCGATAATAATGAACAGATCGCTAATAGAATTATGATGATTATGCCCGATGCAATTCAGAGGCGACCCAACCTTTCATACTTAAATAGACCGATTACCTTTACTGAAAACAATGAAGGAACTGAACGTCAAATATCTGATCTTGAAAGATAAAGACCTTAGATTGGAAGGATCAATGATGAAATAAATCTAATTGATCATAACGTACAGATAAATTTAATTAACAGATAGAACAGAGAAATACAGAATCGCTTATTAAATTTGGGATTGGCAAGGAATCCTACAGGTGTTAATGAAGTATAGAATGAAATGCGGTAATTTCACTAGGAAATGTAGATACTTCATTAATAGATGCAAGCAATACATCATCATTTGGTTTCAAATCGGCAAATGTTGAACTTAGATAGCATAAGAGTAGTTAATTTGGGTTAAGATGTAGGAGTCTTTAGCAACTCTGAAGATAAAATGCAGAGCATAATTGATAGAGAAACCACTAGAATATGCTTTGACAATAATACCTAATTTACGTCGGGTTAGGATAAAGAATGCATTATCTGTTTTGAATAATATAAAGATGGGTAAGCAGTGCTGTAACTCAAACATTGTTAGCATCATTTTCATGAGACTTGCATTAAAGAATGGATCAAGAGGACTTTATAAAACCCAAACTGCCCATTATGTAAACATAAATTAGATTGAGGGAAAAGATTTATAAAAAATACCTCAACAATTCATAATACAATATCCCTTAAGATTTTTAGTGAAATACCTTTTTATTTCATCAGCTTATAGATAAATTGCAATATTCTTGTGCATGGGGTTTTGGGGTTTTGGGGTTTTGGGG